CTTCCACGCTTTTTCCTTCATTATCGTGATATTTTTCCTATATTTCTGCCTTTCTTCCTTATATTCTTCCTCCAATCTGTGTAGTTCCATTCCGTTGCATCTACCACCTTTCTTCCTTAATTTACTTATTCTTCTCTTCATTTTTTGGCATTGGTTTCTTTCTTTTGCCATTTCCTTGCTCCACAAGTATGCATTTTTCCTCGTCCTCTCTCCGGTTCTTGGCGTAGCTGCTTTACACACCTTCTCTATTTCTTCCCCTATTTCGTGCACTATTTCTTGCATTGTTCCTTCTTTTCCTATTTCTTTCATTCTATCGATTTCCCGGATTGCCCTTCCCTTATGTAATTTGCTGGTCATCCATCCTTTCCCTTCCATTTTAACCCTTATCTCTGTTCTTTTTCCTGTAATTACTTTAAATTGAACATACTCCTGATCACTTAGCATCTCTTCGTCCCTGACCTTCCACCCTATAATATTATTAGCTAAGTTCGCAATTACTAAGGTTATACATACACCTATATCTATGATGGAAGTTTCCGCCGTTTTCCTACACGTTGGTTGGGAGCCTCTATTGCAGCAAATTAAATTACATATATTCATTGATTCCGCTATTACCTTCCCTCTTTTATCATTACGAATAACCACTCCTGTCCATATTTCGCTTTTGGTATTAGAATCCCCCGCGATAATACTCTTTTTGTATCCCTGCAGCTGCCATATTTTCAAATTATCCATCATTTTTTCCCATTATGCTTCAAATTCGTTTATATTCCTATTCGGAGAAAAGTAGCAGCTCATTATGTTGATATTTTTAATTCTTACTACTACCAGGCCTTCCTGTTGCACGATCAATTTTGCAGATATTTTGTTATTTCTAACATATACTGCCTGCTTCGTAGCTTGGCAATCTCGCTAGATTGCTCGCCCGTACGCGATCACCGAACGCGGATTAAGATTCCTCGGCTGGGGTTGTAAGGCCCAGCTTAACTTTTGGTCTCGTCGATGGTCGCGACGCTTCGATTTCCAAATTTCTTCAGAAATCGAGTGTTTCGAGTCTAGTCTCCGGACGATTGAGACTAGAATAATCTTGTGGATTCGAAGTCACAATTGGAAGTGAAGTCTCGCCCTGTCGGCACCTTCAGGTTGCTTCGAATATGCTGATTGGCCTTTTCCGAATTTCCAATCAGCGTACGATTAAAAATGCGAAGACGTTAAAGAACGCCCTTTGGCCAGCCCTCTTGGTGCGGGAGTGAGGGCTATGGCCTCGATCGGGGGGAGGTCCTCGAAGGTTCGACGATGACCGCGGGTATTTCCTCCAGGTTGACCTTCGACTGCAGAAACCGTTGTGAGCGAGGTTTGGTCGACCCTTCGGAAGTTCCCGGTTTACGATATGGCCGATTGTTTGAACGAACGAAAGTGAAAGTCTAAGCTATTGTTTGAAAAACTCGAAACGACTGAATACATTTTATTACTCTTAAGGTGAAATTGCATACTATAAAAAAAATAAACTAAAACTCGAAAAAAGCTAATCGCGAAATTAAATTTGTAGGCACGTCCATGTCGTAAACGAACCTTCGAGGATTTTTACCGTATTGTTCCGCATCGAACGGAACACTGCCGATGTTTCGTCACTGTTGGTAATCCAGCGCCCTCCAGGCCCTCCTCTAGGTGGTTCACTGACAATTACCATGTCTATGTTCTTTTCATTAGCATACTTCAGTAAATTATCCAATGACGGTCTTGAGTTGTTTAAATTTATTTGAATTATTTTTATATTACTATGCCTACTTAAATTCGTCATATTTTTCTTTCAAAATGTGTCGAAGGAATAAGTAAAGTTAACTAAAATTGAAATTTTAATTAATTTCTGCACTTGCAACCAAATTAGTCCCTAGTGATTTCTTCTTTCCCGCTACTTCTTCTTCTGCATTCTTCGAAGCTTCCTTCTCCTTGTGCTTTGATTTAACCGGGATTCCTTTTCCGCTTCCCTCTTAATTAGTTTGATTTCTATTCCCTTTTCCTTCGCACACTGCGGAATGGTGTCCGTACCTCCCGCATTCCCAGCGTCTTATCAGTAAACTTGTGACCCTACAGTTCGTCCACCGAATTCTAATCCTTCCTTTTTTACATAATTTTTCCACCACCGTTTTGGATGGTTTAATTAAAACCGTTTTTTCGAGCCATGGCTCCGTTATTAGCCTGACAATTTCCAGCTGTTCTATCTCTTCCTCATTCATATCCTTTTCTTTTGCTATTCTATCCTTAATTTCTTCCACTGTTACCGTACTTTCTATTCCCCTTATTTTGGTCCCCTCCCTTTCTTTTAACAGAGTCACCCTTGACTCCTTTCCCATACTTTCGTCAATTTTTTTCCTCCACTCCCGTGCTTCCTCGGGATTCTCTAATTCAAAGAGCACTCCCTCAGTACGGGTCGGCCTGATTTTATTAACGCATATCCCTTTTGGCGACCCTATTTTTCCCTTTATTTCTTCCAGTGTTTCTTTATAACTTTTTTCTGCCTTCACTAGCACTGCCACTCCCTTCTTTGGTTTTGGTTTTGCATTTTTCTTCTCTTCGTTGTTTTTTCCTAGTGGTTTTCTCACCTGAATTTCCCCTTCCCTGAATTGAACCTTGCAGCCCAGGTTTCCTTCCATTGCTCCAAGTTTTCTTTCGTTTGCTTGCCTATCGTCCTTTTCCCCTCCATGGTTGCTTCTCCAATCTTTATCACTTCTATTTCACGTTCTTTCCTTCTTCCTCGTTGACTTTCTATTTCCCTACTCTCAACAATAATACGCGGCGCTTGCCTTATTATTTTCGTTTCCCTAATTTGAGTTGGTTTTTGTGTGCAATTTTTTACATCGTCCCTAGTTTTACCACACCCATAGCAACTCTTCTCCGTTTTAGTGCATTGCTTTTTTGTAAGCCGCTGATCTCCACCAAAGAAGCATTTCCTACTCAATTCGTACATACTCGTATATACTCATATTGCCCCTATATTAAAAACTCGCCCGGAGGCGAGTCCTAATTTGCCGAACAACAGGTCCATCGTGTTTTTCGACTCTGACCTGCGTCAGAGAAGTCCCACACCAGCCTTGTGCTCCCTAGCTAGCCTTACTGACGAGTCCACTAGGAGGCCCAGGACGAAACGCTCTCAATTTTTGACTGAAATTTTTGGATCACAATGGATAGAATGCACACCAGATCCACACACTTGTGGCCACCTGGTTCGTTAGATTTGACACCGTTGAACTTCTTTTTTTGAGGATGCAGTGAAAGAAATTGTGCATAGGAAATTTACATCCGTTGTAAATTATAAGTAAAACGTCGGATTGTGTATTTCTTCCGTCGCACAGTGGCAGATTTCGCCGAAATCCTGGCCTAAGTGATATTTCTAAATCTAAGAAAACTTATCCTACTAAATTGCCATAATATGACTTTAAAATGATAATGTACTTATTTAACGTTAAATGTTGAATTTAAAAATGTAAAATACTTCCTGTTTTAGTTGTTCCTTAATGTTTATTAAGTGTGCGTCGCTATCTATTGTTGTCGTTGAGTAAATGAAAATTAATGTATTCTACCTGTTTCGTATTTCTAATCCTGTGCTGTAAATATACTACCTGTTAAACTAACAGGGCCATTTAGATATAGAATTAGGCACATTAATCAAGCGAAACATGATATTCCAATTCTGTCATACATGTACCACCCCATACGCGGTACGGACGGCAAAAAAGTAAAAATAACTCAAAATAGCACAAATTATCGCAGAAAACTGCAACGGGCCCTTCTTCAAGAACCTTCAAAGTTTATGTTAAAACAAGAATGGCCGCTTGACCTCGCTTGTTTCGTAACTATTTGCCTAGTAGAAGAAAAAAAATGTATAGGTCTTATATTCTCCTCTATCACAGGGTGTTGCGCGCCCAGAAAAGAAGGCAAGTTTCCGAAAAGCAACAGAGTCTTTCGGACAAAGTGATTCTAGCGTAGACTCAGTGTACATCATTCAACTAACATAAATAAAAGGAACAAACGAGCACAAGTACGCACATTATTCGTGGAGGGTTGAATAAACTCAACATGCACCGAAACATAATCCCGCACAAGGTAATGGTCGAGTAATTCTATAGTTACATTTCGTTCTAATTTCAACCATTACCAACATTTTAAGTTTATCCTACGCTGAATTGATAACGTGTGGTTGGAAGTGTTACAAGAATGGCGAGAGGATTCGCGAGCCCTGGTAACGTGGGATAAAAGAATACATTAGATGATAGGTCCATTCTGTACCTCGTCTGTGGTTCGAACACTATGCTTGAGAGATATTCTTAGTTCTCAAAGTTTCGTGAATTTTATTTTTCAAAATTATTACTTTCTTTCCTGAACTATTTGTTTATTCTTTTATTATTGAAAGAATATGTAACGTAATTCACATAACATAATAAAATTCACGTAAATTAGGAAGCACATTTACTCCCCTTTTTTAAGGAAGGTTTTGGTTTAGAATCCTACGTAATGAATATTCTTCGCGACGTTTCATCCTTTTGAAGAAGTTTAGTTAACCTTGTTTCATTTTTTATCATTAAACGGCAGACAAGATTGCAACAGCAGTATTATTGTTAAACAAATGAAATAAAATAGTTATAACATTTATGAAGTTTGTTGGAACATTGAAAATTAACGCAACGATTGTTTTTCATTGTTAGAGTTGCATTTTCGTCATTTATTATTTGATTACCCTGGAAGAAGTATTGAGTTTTGAAATTTTTTATAGGCCTTCTGTTTGTTTATAGAAAATCGACATACCATTGATCGACCAGTTTGTTTATTAAAAGATGTAACTGTGAATGTGAGAAGCTTAGTTTCGAAGATTGCGTTTCCTTTCAAGAACTTGAAACTTCGTCAATTTTTTTAATTGCAGAAAATCCGTCTGCATAAATGTTCTGTACAACTGACAGATGTAAAACTAATAACATCGAGTAATCTCAAACGAATGTTTTCAGGCAAGCTGAAGGAGCTCAGTTTATCTTTCAACCACCTAACTGAACTTGATGACGATTGTTTCATTGGCATCGAGGAGAGCCTCGATATTCTGGAGCTCAGTTTCGCGTTTGCGACCGATGTGTTTCCGCAACGGGCGCTTAGACCTCTTTCGAATTTGCTTTGGCTGGTTTTGGACAACAATAACTTTCAAACAATAGAAACGACTGCCTTTTATTCTTTCCAGCAGCTACGCTACATTAACTTGGAATCAAATCGACTTCACTACCTGCCGGAACGAATATTCCTATCCAGTGTCCATCCTGAACTGAGAGATGTTAAGCTCGGTTACAATTTTCTTGAAGCCATTCCAGATTTCAGTTTTCACAATTTAACTGAATTAAGAAGTTTAGATTTGACTGGAAATAGGATAAAGGTTCTGAATTCCGATTCTATTATGGACTGTACAAAGTTAGTGACGATATCGCTGGCTTACAATAGAATAATTAAAATGGAAAAAAATGCATTTTACGGCTTGCCCAATTTACGTTTCCTTCATTTGGAGTTTAATAAATTAACTACGCTAGATCTGGATTCTATTTCTGAAATCGGTGGTCCAGACTTTGCTCTTAATGTGTCTTATAATGCGATTTCACTCATAAATGCTGGAGGCTTGATGAATAATTTAACTAGATTGGACTTGAGCTTTAACAATATTAGCCACCTGCCTGCTGACACGTTTTATGGTACACCTGATTTGAGAAGTTTGGGTCTACAGAACAATTACATCGCTGTTCTCGAAGCAGGTAGTGTAATATTATACCATATGACTATTATTTAAGTCCTTGATAATAATAATAGTAATAATAATAATACTTAAACTTGTGATACGTCAATTGAAAGAGCTTCCTTTTAACCTTCTACCCCTATCATTAGGGTAGTTATCGACCTAAACATCATTTTAATTTCAGACTTGATTTCTTTGGTTCTACCCGAGGAAACGTTATGAAAAAAATTTCAGATACTATATCCAGAGTGTTGCATATCTGAGATTTTTTTCAAATTTTTGGAATGAAAAATCTATTTTTAAAAAATTGAACATTTGAAATGCCAATTTTTTATTGAAATTATCAAATGACTGCATTCACATTTTTACAGTAGCAGCTGCCTGTCATGTTTATTAACTCATAATTTTTTCAGATTTTCTAGAAACCAGTGTCATAGTTAAAAAAAATTAAAAATCACTATTTTTTACTGTTCCGTGTACGTAAGAGTGACCTCTAGTGACAACAACGGGTGTTTAATTAAAAAAAAAAAAGATTACTCTCCTTGAAATTCTTCCTACAAAATGAGCCCTTTTGCAGGATGAAGAATTTAAAATTAACGTTATAAGGAGCTGTAAACTGATTGGTGTACCCCCGTTTCAGATAAGCCGTTTCATATGGTCTAAAAACAATATCGACATGTCTTGTATATGACTAAATGGCCCTATTTATACTTTCAGAATTATTTCAGTAACCACTCTTGGCCAATGACACCTTTTTAAGTACAACCTGATTTATAGATGTTAGTTTCTTTGCTCGTTGATTATTTATGAAAAAAGTGTCATTGCTCGATGGAAACCACGAGAAGATGGCGGTTTTCTTCCATCGGGAAAGGATAAGGATGGGTTATGGTCAATAGTATGGACAGGATCTTTGTGTGTTGGGGACTTAGAGATTGCAGGGAAGAATATAATAGAAATTATTTAATTACACTGAAACCATAAATCAATCCAAAAACCAATAATAGTGGAACCATATATTTCTATTAGTCTTAGTGTGTTACGTATTTAAAGACTAATAATTTATCGCATATTTTTATGAAAATTTCTGGAAAATGTGAAGTTCAGTAAATACTTTCTTCTTGTTAACACATCCACTGCCACAGGTGCAGCATATGAACATCGGAATGTGTTGCCCTGTGTGCAAGTGTCGACTTGCGTGTTGGTCGGTATATCCAAAGTAATCGATGTCGTCGTGTACGATATATCACTATTGTTACGAATCCTCCTATAGGAGCAAGAACGAGGAAATTGGAGAGGACGTCTTGGCGTAGTGCTCAGAGTCCTGGTCTGCCAGCCGGAGGTCACGGATGTTTGATTCGCGTTGGGTTCCTTCAATTTTTTCTCGGCTCCTACACCTGTAAGGATGATATCGGTAGCAAGTAGGACAGATGATTCGCTTATTCTATATATGAAGAATTCGGGACGATACTTTTGTGCGTATTCTCCGATAAACACACTTACACGTAACTAAATTTACCCCCTGTTTCTAATTTTTTCAAATGTGTGGGTAGATCTCGTGGCAGTGACGTTAGAAAGTTGGCCCGCGTGTTAAATGTCGGTGTTATTGTAATATATTTCACGAGGGGCTTGTACCTCGGAAGTTCACCAACTTCTCTTTTGAGAAGGTACCCAAGATTTTAGCCAAATACCTCGTCATCTATTTAGTAGCGGGCATGAATAGATTAACGAGATTACCTCTGTTCCTACCTACTTCCCGCACCAGCGGAGCCTACTGGCTTAGCGACCCCACGGCACCTGAAGCGCTCATCGAACAGAGTCGAAAGGAGTGGGGTCCCTCATGTGGGAGTGGTGTAGGGCTCAGCACTAGCATTCCGCCAATGATGTAATGAACGGTACCTCGGAACGGTCAGATTTTCCTTGCCACGTTACAGAAGTGTTGCAGAGTTTTCGTTCTCCTGGCGGTTGTCCGGCGGCGTTTCGACGGGTGTTCTTTCCCGTTCGGGGGCTGTCCGAGTTAGTGCTGGATTCGAGAGGGCAGTGTGTTAAAGCCAGGTGCTGGTTAGGTGGCCCTTTCTTCAGGCTGCCGATGGGTGAGCTGTGTCACAAAACAACTACGGCACCAATCTGGAGAATTGGTAGAATGTGGAAAATCAGTCCGTTCAATAGGTTCCCGTCGTACAGATAGACCACCAAGATTTAGTGGTCACGTTGATTGGATGTATCTCAATCCCTTGCCCATGGGAGTCATCTGGATAAATGTCACACGGGACGCTGGGCGTTAAACTACGACATTCATTTATATGATAGTGTATTTCTTTTTTCTTAAGTGCATGAAATATAGATGTGACGTTTACTGAATCGAATGCTTTTGCAAGGCTTATGGATACAATGGTAAAAGGTTTTGATTTACATCTATTGGTTTTTATCAATGTTTTTAAAATTGTGTTATTTGCCATATTACCGTCGGTTTTTATGAATCCTCTTTGTACATGGGAGAGGCATCTTATTCAGCAGACGTAATACCCTCTACTTGATATCTTAATATCGTGATCCGTCGGTTTTTATGAATCCTCTTTGCACATGGGAGAGGCATCTTATTCAGCAGACGTAATACCCTCTACTTGATATCTTAATATCGTGATCGGGCGCTATTCTTTGGAGTCGGTAAGATACCCATTGTTGAGTAGTAGAGTGGTTCTGTTCAACTTCAGAATCAGAGGAAATCTGTACCCTATATGATGTTCCAAAGGGCATATAGATCGTGCCGTAGCATCTGCCGAAGCATTTTCCGATTAATCTCATCAACACCAGGCGCTGACTCTTTAAGTTTTGCTAGCTGTTCGTGCATTTCGATATATGCAATAATATTGCAAGGCTTGCGACGTGTGGTTCCAGCACATCTTTCTGTGTAAATAGTTTTGTATGGAAATTGGTAAATTGCGCCATGGTAGGCATTTCTGTAGTATCAAGGGGGTTAGACACTGAAATTCAGAAAATTGACGAAATGCCAGCCAAAAATGTGAGAGCGTGCACATGCGACCGGATGCAGGCAAGCGGCTCGATGGAAAACACTCCGTCGCGTCGTGCTAAAAATACTTTCCCAACAATTGGGGACTATTTTATAGCTGTTATTATTTGTGTTCCGCGGATCACTCGCTGAATGTCATTATAAACCAGTCGATTTTATTTTCACCCAGTCTAAACATTTGTTCCATAGCGGCTAGTGGTCTGGACAAAGGAAGACCCATCCAGCGTGCAGGTGGTTAGTACGTTTCATGACATACAAGCTAAAAAGCTGTTTTTGAGAACGTCTTTTTATTCGTTAAACCCGTTAAGAAATAGTTTTTCCCCCCTAAATGTCGTTTACGACCTCAACAATTATTGTACGTGTCATAAAACGTGAGTTTCTAAGACCCGGCAACCCCTATCTGGGCCCGCCGCGAGTCCCAGGCCTGGTGGAAATTCCCGTTGCGGTTTCAAATGTTTAAACATTGCAGATCTTCACCCCCACATGTCATCGCCTAGTCCGCACGGAGTATGTCACGGACACACGGATAGGTCGATGGCAATTAGGGAAAAACACTATTGGCTAGTATTTATAGCCAATTGGTGAGGGAATATTCATACTCAGAGCTTTTCCCTTTTCTGGGAAGCTCTGCAGAGTCGTCAATCAAAGTCGTCGTAAGACAGTCATTCAGTTTCATCTGAAACGGTAATAACTAATTGTAAGCCAAGATTTACGACCTTTACTAGACTCCGGTCCTTACCGCGAGTCTCGTCGGGAACAATTTGTGCAAACAATTTGTGATCCGCTGCTGCTTACTACCTAGCACAGTATTCAACAAACTTTCGAGTGAGCAACATACTATCGACTTTCTATCGTTTTAAATATGGAATCAAAATCTATGTCCTGGTCTGACTTCGGTGATTTGCCACATCGAGTGACACTGGATACAAAGGGGCAACGGGACAATGTAGGGCGCCCTGGCCGTCGTAAGAAGGGGAACTATTTGAAAAATTTGAAGCTGCCACGAACAAGTGACAACATCGCTGTGCCAAGTACGTCATGGAAAAAAGTTGGATACTAGTCAAAGGTTTGGTGACGAATGTGAATCGAAACATAGTTACAGAATTTTAAATTTCTTTTTTATTTTGAATACAATTTCACAATTTTTGTGTTGCAAAACCTGTAAGGGAAACGTCACTTTCGTAGAAACGGTTCAACGCGGACTCGGTTTCACATTAATTTTAAAGTGTGAAAATTGTGGTGAAACAATGATCAACTCTTGCCCCTTGATAAAAGATCATGCTTATGAAATCAACCGACGAAGAATTTTTGCAACGCGATCAATAGGAATCGGTTTCTCACGTCTACAAATGTTTTGTGCAATAATGGATTTACCGAAATGCATCACAAGAACATTTTACAACAGAACAGTTGGATACTTCCGAAGAGCCATCGAGTTGGTTGCAAAAGGGTCCATGAGTCGTGCCGCAATGGAAGAATCACAGGCAACAGGAACAGGCACCGATAATTTCAATGGTGAAATAGCGGTATCAGGAGATGGAACATGGCAAAAGCGAGGTTTTTCTTCTCTGCATGGCGTTGCCACCCTTATTGGAACGAAGACTGGAACAGTCATCGATGTAATTATAAAAAGCTGCTACTGTAAAATTTGCTAGGTTATAAATAAAAATAAAGGTGAAGATATTGAAAATCGTCGAAAGGAGTAGGAAGCACAGTGTGAAAGTAAGTCGACGGTATAATTGAAATGTTTCAACGATCAGTACAGTTGTATAATCTGAAGTAGGTAAATTACATTGGCGACGGAGACAGTAAAATCTATAAGGGAATAGTGGCTTCGCAACCGTACGGACCAGATGTTACTGTCCTGAAGAAAGAATGCATCGGTCACGTCCAAAAACGAATGGGCAATCGGCTCCGGAACATCGAAAAAGCGAAAAAAGGTTTGGGAGGAAAGGAAAAATTGACTGCAAATCTCATCGACAAGTTATCTA